TATCATAATCTATTAACTTTGGCAATAACTCCTTCTTAACATAAAGAACTATGCCAGCTTTTTTCCTTGGTGCAGGAGCAACAAAATGTAATCCCAATTTGTAGTTAATCAAATACTTTTGGTCATTTGATGAGATATGCGTTTCTTGTAAACATATAATATCATTTTTATGTTGTTTTAAGTAATGGAATGTTTTTTTTCCTTTTTTGTGGTGAATTCAGTCCATTAACATTCCAAGTCAAAAACTTAGCCATCTTTTGGTTTTTGAAATTTCTGAAGCATCCCATGTAGGTCTGCCGTAACAGATCTTTTTGGTCTAGCCCCTCCCACAGCTTCTGAGGTAGATGAATATGTTATAGGCACAGTTTCTTTTTGTTGTTCTCTCTCCTTTCGCCTATAAGCTGCACGTGTCATTCTCTGTTATTTTGCATCCTTTAACTCCAACAATTGTTGACTCTGAAACTCTACTGCAGACAACGATGTAGCACTTGGTAAATCTACAATTAGTTGTTCCGCTATTTCTTCTGCTCCTTTGGTTAATGGGGTAGGTGATGAGTCAGCTTTCAGAACCATTTGGTAAAATTCTCTAGCCTTCTGAACTGTATCAAGTTTATAACGGTTCCCAGCATAACTCAGGACCATTCCCACTGGTATTTCCCATCTAAAAGGCAGTTGTCGCTTTTTTAACTCTTGTGCCAGAAAGGCAAATTCCTTTCTTTTTCTTAAGATTTTAGATGGTACTTCTTTCAAAAGTATAACATCTTGTGCAGCTATCTTAAATCTCTGATGATAAAAAGCCTGTATAATATCATTGCGACGTGTCTTTCTAGAAAAATAAACAACAACATCCCTAGGCTGGTTCTTCTGACGTGCGACCCATGAGTTTACTCTATATATTTTTTCAATTTCTCCAAAGATAATTTCAGGATCGCAGTCAAAAACCAGGGCAAGTGCAGCTGATATTTCCTCTTTAAGTTTTTCCTGTAAATCCTCTTTTAACCCTCTGATTCTTATAGCATGTTCCATCTCTCTAAATTGTGACATCACATTATCATTTTGTAATATCTGCACTTCT